CAACATGGAAGTCGACACCGAGAATCCAGACCCACGCGCGAAGAAAAGATGCACTCGGAAGAGCGGTGTGGAACAATCGCTACGCGCAGAAGGCGATGAAGAGTCAGGCTCAACGAGACAGTCGTGTATATGTCTGGATCTCGAGAGGACTCTGGTGAAATCTGTGATGCCAAAGTACATTCGAGACCGCCTCGAGAGAATGTCCAGGTACACCGGGTCCTTCAGGTACATCGTTGGTCTATTCTCAAACTACGTCGTCATCAGGAGACTCGAACAGGGCCTGCAACCTCCTGAGGTCAAGAAGGTCTTCTACGATAGGTGTTGGGCCGCCATCAACATCCGCATATCCGGAAAGAACACGAGAAACAACTTCTCCAACCTAGTCGACGAGTTCATCGACCAATCCGGTTTCGACACGTCTCTCTTCCCTCCCAGGGTCCCCTGTCGACTCCAAGAAACAGTCACGAAAGAAATGGAGGTATCTGCCAAGAACTCTGTTGTCGTGCACCTGGAGGCCAAGATCAAGGGGTTCCTGAGGTTCAGGCTCATGAACGATTCCCAGTTGGCATTCCAACACCTCCCCGCGAAGGATCGATCGAGAATTATCGTCTCTCTGTCAAACGACTGTCTTGAACGAGAGATGAGAGAAGACCTCGATCCTGGGTACGTACCCCACGTGCTACAAGTGAGGGACCTTCTCGCACAAGTTTACTCAACCGAACCGGACGTACCAGTGCTCAAGATCTTGAAGAAAAAGCCCCATCTGTTCCTCGAACTGATCAGCATGATCTCAAACGTTGGCGAGGAGGCGTCCGACAACAATAGGGCCCTCCGAGAGGAAACGAAGACGAGATCCGACGAGGAAAAAGTGAGGAAGGCCTTCTACATGTCAGAGAGGATCAAGCGAGGACTGGTGGATCGACCCAAGATGTGCACGGTCCTCCCTGTGTGGAAGCTAGCCCCGTGCTTTCCATACTACTCTTCTTCCGTGGTCGGGAGCATTTTTCACAAGGAGGGTCACGAATTCTCGTCCGTCTCAAGGTTTATTTCCGAGCACTTCGACCTTGGGAGGGTTAATAGGAAAGGATACAAGCCGTCGGGATTTAGGTCAGACGGCTACCAGGTTCAGGTGACCTTTACGGCCCTGTTATCCCAAAAGCCTCACGTTTCTGGTACAACAGATCTGGCCAAGTCTGGGTATCAGATTGCCAAGAAGGTGGTCTCCCTGGACACGCAAGAAAGGGGCTTGTTCGTGCTCTCACAGGCGAGAAAAGACAGTCGGAAGATAGTCGCTGACCGAGTTCATGCATACAACCTGACCGTCGTCGATCCAGGGTGCGCTTCAGTGGTTTCTGTGAGGTCGTGTCCCCTGGAATTCTTCAGGTGTGTCGGGAGCGTTCGCGAGAAAAGCACCGACTGGGAAATGAAGGGAACCGAGTACTCCGTGAAGTCTGGCAGGACCATGCTGGAAGGAAGAGAGAAGAAGCGGAGATCGAACGACGAGTACGGGCGGTGTTTCCCCAGATTTTCCGCGGTCAAGAAGAAGACAGCCAGAAAGTCGTCTTTTCTCGCGTACTGTTGTTCTGTTCGGGAACGGGAGCTTTAGGGCGATGAAAGGGCACGCCTCCGCGCCTCGAAAGATGCTCGTGAGGGCTATCTGTTCGAGGGTGAATGTGGGGATGTTGTACGAGTTCAGGACTTCCAAGATGTGCCCCGGGGTGTGTGGCGGGGAGATGACTGATGTTCAGGGTGGTCAGCGTGTGCGACAGTGTACAACTGTTTCTGTGGGCGTTGAAAATCCCTGTCCTCTTTTCGAAAACGGAGTGGCATTTAGGTGTGATAGGGATGCAAGTACCACCCTGAGTTTTTGTCTTGCGGGATACTGTGGGTTGGTTCGCAAGTCGTGGCCAACTCATCTCCTGAGAGGCCAATAAGAGGACAGAAAGTAGTCCCTCCGGGACGTGGCCGGTAGATTGACGCAGATTGTAAGGCCAGGCCTCTCATTCACACGAGAGGTCTATTTTTGGACGAGTACGTTGGTTAGATCATTTTGGTCTTGTTAACTGTATTCCTCCGTAATAGCGTCTCTCCAGAAGAGATTCCCTGTGAAGGATCTGGGAGATTCTACCTGGTACGATGGGTGTGCCATTGAGGTGGACCTTGAGAATGGTACCACCAAGCTGTCCCAGACGTAGTGTGCGCATCCACGAAGACACAGCCAGTGACGGCTCAGTCGACCACGGAGGCAGAGTATATTGCAGGCGGGGAGGGCGTGAAGAAAGCGTTGTTTGTGCGTGGTGTTCTGTCGTTCATTGCGCCCGAGACGAGCGGTGCCACGATCAGGGTCCGTGAGGACAACGAGGGGGCTCTCGCGTTGGTGCAGAACCCTTTCAGCTCGGCGAGGAGCAAGCATATCGACGTGCGGTTCCACTTCATCCGCGAGCTCTTCAAGGCGGACAAGATCACCGCAGATTATGTCTCGACAGAAGAGCAGCACGCCGATATGCTGACCAAGGTCCTTGGTAGGGGCAAGTTGGAGTACCACCGGAAGGCTCTGATGAACCTGCCGATGTAGGGTTCTGGTCTCGTTTTCGTGGCGTTTGTTTTGTTTTGTTCTAGCACTGGGCGCGTCTCGGACCATGGTATGTCACGCAGGAAGCGTTGGGCAGGGGCGTCACCCGCGGCGGGAGCTTAGGGTTTTTGACCAATTGCTTCGGGTGTGTAATCAGCGTGGCCTGTCCAATCTGTCCTGCCTTGGTCCTGCCCTGATAGTGCGGCCGTTGGAATCCTTCGTGATAGCGACGGTTTCTTTTATGTTTTGAGTTTGTAGGCGAGGGTTTTTGATCCGGATGGCCGAGTTTTTCCCTTGCACACGTTGTTGTATGAGTAACTTAAATTGATCTGGAGTATCCATGCCCCACTGATGGTTTGTCAATAGCTTGACGAACCGGGGAGGGTGTTCGTGTGTCTGGATACGAGCATGGTAGATCTGCTAGCAGCACGGGGGGGTTCGTAGACAGGAGCATGCGTATGCCTGAAAAAAGGCTACTATCTGTGGGCCCCCTTCCCCGCATTCGGGAGGGCCACTTCTTCCCTTCCTTTCCTCGCTCCCGCGGGTGCCTAATCAGAGAGAGTTAAAGCGTGTCTTCTCCTCCCAAGTACGGACATACCAACAGGGCCTCCGTGCCGCCGAATCCTGCCCACCAACCGAGTGGGAGGATAGATGCCCGCCCGGGGCGACCATGCTTCTGGCGGAGAAGAGGAGGGGCGGGTGCCGCGCGGCCGGCTGCATTGCGGCGGGCGGCGAGCTCAACGACGTGAGAGGGGGTGGATCAAACAACTGGAAAGACAAGGCACACGATCAAGCTGCTGGACGTCGGAAAACACATCAACGTGGAGCTAAAGGAGAGCGCGCTAACAACGGATAATCTGGTGCATGCAGCAACCTGGAACTTGGTGCTGGCATGCTTATGCTACCAACAAGTCCGTGAAGAAACACATGTTTGCATTGGAATTATGAGTGATTGGTAAGGATGAGACTATTGTTGCAAGAGTGAGTACAGGAAATATGGTGGGAATTGACTGGAACAGAAAGAAGAGCGAGGGATTGAAGGAGGATTTGTATGGAAGGAACTGTAGGCAGCAGGCATGAGGATGACATGGACAACAATGAGAAGCCTTTTGAGTGGACGACATGAGAGTTGAGAGCGAAAGGTTGATTGGATTGATGAGAGTATTATGTAGTCAATTCACGAGTGGTTTATGTGGGGTTGACAGCATGTCAAACATGATTGTTGGGATCACGACTGCTGTAGATTGATGAAATGTAATTGTAGAAATTAACAGTGAGACTACACAGGTAGACAAATGGCTACCCGCCCAGATTCCTCTGAGGAAAAATAATCTTCTAGAGGGTTCGAAATCCTCTGGAGGATATTTTACCCTCTAGAGGATTTGTGCACGATATGCTCCGAGGGAAAAACCTCAACAAAGCTCGGAGGGGAGACAATCGGCCTCTTCCGAGGATATCAAACGAAAAATCCTCCCGAGGGTACGATATACAGCATCCTCCAGAGCATTGCCTGAGAAACGTTACTCTGGGGGTTACATATCTGACGTATTCCTCGGAGGGTAAGCAATTGGTGTCCTCCGAGGATCTCAAACCACGATTTCCTCAGAGGGAGCAGATTCGGCATCCTCCAGAGCATCACGTAAAGAACAGGTTGCCCTAGAGGAAAAATGTCGAACAGTTCCTCGGAGGGCAACACTTAACAATCCTCCAGGGGGAACTTGAAATTTGAACCCGCTGGAGTTGACTGGATTACGATTTCCCCTCGGAGGAAGCCATCCTTGCTTCGTCGAGGCGTAACAGTAGTGTAAATTTCCTCCTGGGGAAAAAGCCCTAAAGTATTCCTCCAGATGTATCTGACATGCATTCCTCCGGAAGGTGGCGCTGGTCTATAAGTTACTCAAGAGGTTACTGCTGGACAAGGTATGTATTAGGTGGATGAAAGCACCTGCAATGCTCGCGGGGTACCGCCGTAACAATCTTCGGGAGGGTTCTTCCGGCGGGTTGTTCCTCCGGAGGGTGTTGGTTTCTAAATGTCCTCTGTTTGGGCATGATGTCTGTTGCTCTGGGGAAGAAAAATATCAGCTGAAAAATATCACAACCAGCACTTTTGGCAGCATGGCTGTGGCTGGCTCCATGACAGCAGCACAGAGAGCACAAAACAAAAAAAATCCGCCACGACAGAGGCCACGGGCTGCACCAATCAGCGCGTAAACTTTCCAGCGCACATGCTGCGGTGCTGCTGCGAGACCCAGCCCGAGGATGGCTCCTCGCCCGTGCCCGCTGTACACAAAGAGGAAGCGCAGGCAGCAGGTGTGCGCGGAGGAAGGCGCCGTGCATGGGCACAGCAAATGGCCAAAAGGCGGTCGGGGGAGTCGGGGCTCCAACACGGGGTGTCCCGATTCAGACACGAGCCCCCTTTGGCCGTTGTTTGCTTTGGCTTCCTGCCTGCTTCTGCCGTTGGCTCAAACACGCACCCCGGCACGCACATATGCACTATGAGCGATGAGCACCAGCCTCCGCAGACCGCTGCCACTGTACATCGGCGTCCACACACCACAGCATCATGATCCGAGTAATGCGTGCCATCCTGCTTGGTTTTCCCGAGCAAGGCTCTGACAACAAGGGACCTGGAAAAAGCCATGGCCTGGACGAGACAGAGAGAGGACCATCTCCTCCTGACGATCGCGCGGCTTGTTCGAGGTAAGTGCCGGAATGTGAATGGCAGTATAATAGAGGGATGAAATGGGCCGAGAAGGCCTTGTGCGAGGCGTGTTTTGGTGATCCGTGGGTGTCATTGCTTGGGGCTTGCTTCATTCTCCGCGGGGGAGGGTGTGTGGCTTGCTCCTGTTTTGAGACAACCGAGCTTGTCGAGTGATCGTACGACGAGGAGGGGCCCACGTGCTCAACATCACAGCTTGTCACATGCACTATGCGCCTGCACTATTTATTCATCTGGCCAAAGCTTGCAGACCAGCGCAGTCCTGAATTCATGCTAGCCAGACCATCAGGTGCGGTGCCATGGGTAGGTCCACCTGGGCAAACCTGGGCTACCTTGTTTGTGTAGCGATTTTTTCTGGCGGCGCCTGGAAAAAAAAGAAAAAAAAAAGGAAGTCTTCGTAGATACAGCAGTTGGCCTTTCTCGCGAGTTGCTGCAGATGATGTAGAGTGAGCAGGAGATTACCTAGATATGTCTGCGCTCTGATCGATTGTCCCCTTTTTTCCACTCTCGGTGCTGTTTTGCAGCGCACAAGCAGCACTTGTCAAAAAAACCATCGTCATGTGTCTATCTGTACTGCACGTACACTGCTGTATGTAGCGTTTCAACACTAAACAACAAGCACGCCATCGGTTCAACAGGAGGCCAGCGGCAGCCAAGTGCAGCAAGCAGCACCACAGCGGTGATTCGAGCAACCAACATGTCGAGAGAAGTGGTGCCGCCTTCAAATCCGCGCCTGTGATGATGTGTGCAGTGAAAGATCCCGCCTGTTTCTCTGCTGCTGCTGCTTCTGCTGTACACATTAATATTCTCAAAGGCAAATATCGAGCATCAGATCCCACATCTCTGTCTGACCTGCCTGATCTCGGTCTCACCCAGTCATTCTGCACCACACCAGACCACCATACACAAAAGAACAGCAGCAGTTGCTAGAGTGGAGTGTAAAATGGTGCCACTGCGTCAGTGCGCCAACCGCACATTGCTTGTTTGCGTCTGACCATCATGCATCATCAAGCCGCTTCTTTCCTGGCAGCTACATAGATCGCTACAGCAGCAGCAGCAGCAGCAGCGAGGGCGTGTTGCTTCCATGTCCCACACACCCCTCCTTCTCTGTGTGCTATGTGCTGGGTGCCGGGTGTGCTGTGTCTGCTGTGTGTTGCCAAGATCGCAGGTGATGTGTGCCCCTCTTGTGCCCCTTTTCAAATGTGTCCCGCTACCGACTTTAACCGAAGTATCAGCTTCAATTCTAGTACAAAAGAAATGTGTCCCGCTACCGACGGCGAGGCTCCGACACTGAAACACCGCGTTGTGTTATCTACGCGGGCTATTAATAAAAAATAAAAATAGGCGTTTGCTTCGGAACTGCTGTCTCTCTCGATGCTCTATGCATATCTTTGGGCAAGAAAGCGTAATAGCGTTGAAGCTCGTCCGGCAGCTTGTGCTGAAGAAGCTTGCGCCTCCACAAGACGACTTACTGGCTTGCTTCTGGTTGCTTTTTCCGCTGGCGAGCATATATTCATGCCGGCGAGGGATATTTGTTGTGCGTCACGCCCACAGCCGCCACCGACAGCAGTAGTACGTGTACAAAAGCAGTTTTTTCACAACCTGCTCCACGCACGTAGACTACTACCGTAACATCAATATTTACATGGTCGAGGCAGCAGCAACAGTAGCTATTTAAGCAGCAGCAGTAGCGAAGCCGGCGCAGGAAGCAAACAGGATATCTTTGTAGTCGTGCGACTTGTTGTTTAGGAGATAGATAAAGTCAGTTGTTGGATTGTGTAGTTGGATGCCGAACCCTCAAGCTCGCGCCTCATGGATCAACGGCGGATACATTTTGCGTCATAAATACAAGGGTGCTAAGAGTGCTGCTCCTGCACTTCCTTCGGGCGCCACCTGAAGTGGCGTGTGAAAGAAGCTGCTTGTTCATCTTCCAACCTCCCCCCCCCCTTTTTCTTTGTTCGTCCTTCGATTTTTTCCGCAAGAAAGTTGTCTTGGCTTGCTCATAGCTGCACACAACTTAATGAACGTCTCAACCTGCAAATAACATGCACAACCACGATCGGGGTCGGTGCATCTACTGCGGCTCGCAGCAATCGAGCGCTTCCCCCCCCTGCAATAAAATGCTAACTCCAAGAACAACTCCGTCACGTTCACCGTCACCGTCGCCGTCGCCGCGATCAGGAAACCTCGGACGCGACAAACCGCAGCAGCGGCAGCTTCAGCAGCCGGTACTTGTCCGCCTCGAGGGCGGGGAGGTCGAGCCTGTCCGCGACCACCGGCAGGGGCGTCGGCGACAAAGGGGACCCGCCGTTTGACATGATGGAACTGGGAGCGAGCACGGGCGGGGCGGCGGCGCCCGCGCCGGTGGTGACAGTGGACCCAGACACGGACGATAGCCCATGACGAATCTCGCACCGGCTAAACAAAAGGTGGGTGTCTTTGGTTGGCTTTTTTGCTCCCCGGAAGTGGTCGCATCTGCCTGGCAAAATATTGTTTGTACAGGGGAGCTGTTGAAGTGGAGCGCTTTCGAGTGTTTGGTATTGTCTGCTTTCTTGGGTGGAGGACGAATGGTGCGTTACTGGTGATTGGCCTACTTCGCCGCGTGTTTTTGGGTGGAGGGGAGGTTCCGTGTCCTTTCTTTTTTTTTTACCATAAGGTGATTGTTTCCAATTCCACGGAACACGCGCTGGTTTGACCTAGCGTAGTTTTTTCAGGGGAGGCGTTGAATTGATATACTCTGAAATACCATGTGTTAAGTGTTTCTGGTCTCCTTTTACTCGACAAGGCAATTGTCTCTTCTCTAACGTGTCGAGGTTCCCTCATTTGCTTTCCTGTGTTTATTTTCGTTCTAAAACGGGAGAAGCCGCAGCAGCAAAGGAGGGATTGCGGCAGGAGAAACGGGGACGGCCACAGCAGCGGCAGCAGCAGACGAGGCAGCGCCAACAGGGTGGAGGAGAGCTACACTCTTAGAGAGGACGGGGACGGGCAGGTGAATGTTAATGTTGTTTCGTTGGTTTGTGATAGTGCTATGTATGATTTGTGATGGCTTGTATGTAGGATGTAATTATCTCGTGACTCTGAATGACAACGAGTATCATACCCTAGTGGCGAGGACCGGGACCGACACGTGATTGCATTTTTGTCATTGAGGGAGTTCTGCAGCACTCAGTTCTCCAGCGGTGTGCGATGGGGAAAAAAAACTGTTTTCCACGGGGGAATACCTTGTGTGTTGAAAAGTATCATCGGGGCAACCCACTAACCGGCTGCAATACGCACGTCAGTCTTGGCGGCTCCTATCTTTGGGAGGAAGCACCTAAATTTAGTGATTTCTCGCTACACGCGATCAACCATCTCTTACAGCGCAATCTGTCTCTCTCTATCCCGCCCCGCCCCCCGTCGGACGTCGTTGTTAGAATTGGACTATCACGCGATAGCGGTGGCGAGGAGAGTTGTATACAAGGGAGCAGGAGAGGACTGGAGTGGGCAACCAAGACCACGGGCAACCAATGAAGCGGAGGCTCGGAAGATGGTCAAACAGAGGCTCGGGGGTGGTTGAGTGGGGAGCTGTGTTGTTGCTTTTTGACATTTGAAGGTTGGGGTGTAGGAATCCACAGGGAACCTTGCTGGTTGCTTCGTTTTTTGTGAATACTTGTGGCTACTTTATTCGTCCCCCCTGTTGTGTTTTGCGCGTGGTGATGGGAGAGCCTGGTCCGGTGAGAACCCGGCGTGCTCCGTCCCGGCTTTGTAGGGATGTGAGGTCAATGGTCTAACGACTACGGCATGCACGACTATCCCCCCTCCCCCCCCTGTTGTGTTGTATTGGTGTGATGAGGTAGCCGGTTCTCAAGCTTAATATCTGCTGCACCCGCTGTTCCCGCATATGCATAGGAGGTGGCCTGCAAAATGTTTCTGTTATGGCCGACCGTGTGTTGTACCGAGACTTTGGGGCTGTCGCGCGAACGCATATCGGTGAAGAATTGTGCCTTTCCGGTGCATTTGCGATGCTGCGAGGGTGCGTTTCGGGCACGGTTTTGCTATCAAAGCAGAGGCTTGGCAATATTCAGCATTCTGCCAAGGGTCGAGTCTTGGAGGCTTCGCCGATGATGCGTCACGGCCCTAGTATACTTGTCGCTTGACAGTCGGCAAGATTTGAGAGTTCGTATCGCGTTTTGTTTTTGTTCGGACATGGTTGAAGACGATAGCAGTTTTGGTTTTGGACTTCGGAATTTTCTGGCACATGTTGGTAGTTTGTCCGTGGGGAACTTTCGTATTCTATTATGTTGCCTGTTTGACTCAGGATGATGTTTTTTCTTTCATCAAAGCTTCTCGGACTCAGACTCAGAACTATGCCCGTACGTGTCTAGTGATGTTTTCAGCAACGCCGTGTACGTTCCCATGCACCTATTTGCAGTTCGGTTCTTACAGCAGTTAACGGGGACGTCTTTCGACTTGTCTATTGAGGAATGAATGCTGACGGTGCGACGGCCAACGAGATACTACTTTGCCCTGGTGTAGGGGCGGGATGTCGTTTTCATTGGCAGATTCTCTCAGGCACGTTCATAGACAGTCGTTTTTCTTCGTTCGTCAGTTTTCCGTTGCGGGGATGTACCCCGCACACTTGTTACCCACGCATGTTTGTGTGTTTTTTGTTTCCAAGTTGATGGGGATAGTCTTTGACTTGGCGACATACCGTTGGGCGAGGTGATACGCAACGAAGTGTAGTGCTTTGGTCTAGAGATTTCGGTTTGTTTTTTTGTTGATAAGGCACTGTGCTTCTCTTTGAGCACGTGCGTATATAGGCAGCCGTGTGCTTCGGTGGTTCTCAATTGTTTCGTCCTTGTTTTCGTCACGGGGATGCACCTATTCCGTACTAAGTCGTAAGATGTTCGTGATTTGGTAAAGAGATTTGGAAAGTTGCCCTGTTTCAACGTCGAAGGCCGTAGTAACTTGTCGATGCTTGAGCTTTTGTTTTTCTGTACAGTCGAAACGTGCCGCCTCTTGGTTCCAAATCTTTGGAGCGGAAATTTGAAACATTATTGGTTCGTTTAAAACGGCCCTTAACCTGGTGTGTGTTGCTTCTAAGCGATCAATTCGAATATATCTATGCAACGGGCGTAAGTTGTACACCCCCCTCAGAGAATATTATAAGAGAGCGACAAAAGTGACATGAACAGCAGAAGGTGCATGTTTCCCAGCAGTCTCCACTGGAAGAAACGCACCACATGCTCCGGGGGATATATTGTCCCCCACTCCCTCCCGAGGAAGTTCTCTGGCTATTCCTCTGGAGTTTTTCTTTGGAATCCAAACCGCAATCCTCAGAGGATTGCCCAAGAAAGCGGATCCTCTGATTTGGTAAAAACGTGATCCTCCCCAGAGGAAACCCCTCACCCAAAACTCTGGAGGATCACCTTCCTAAATCCTCTGGAGGAAGTTGTAATGTATTCCCCGTGGAGTATTTCTTCCAACGATCCTCCAGAGGATTTCGAACAGTGATCCTCCAGGGCTTTGGGTGAGGGTTTCCTCTGGGGGGATAACCTTTTTACCAAATCAGAGCTTCCGCTTTTTTGGGCAATCCTCTGAGGATTGCCGTTTCACCTATCCTCTAGAGGATTTTGACCCTAGCCATTTGTCTACCTGTGTATGCTGAGTTGGCAGGAAAACGGGAATGCATACTCTGCTGTGAGGAGGATCAAGGAGCAGAGTTGAGGATTGGGCATGAGGAAGATGCGTAGCAGAGTGCACCTTGTGGAGTTGTTTCTGTGTACAACTTATCTTTAGAAAGGTTGACACTGAATCAGGGTGGGCGAATGTGGTGCAATCGGGCCGCTTTTCTTGGAACTTTGGAATTACCGGGTAACTACGGTTAATAGTGTGGTATGGAACAGGGCTGGTGTAAACTGAGTGCAGCCAAGTGTACTACTTGGAAAGAGAGCAGGTGGAAAAGAGCGGGACATGTCTGAAAGGAGACTAAACTATCGGGAAGTTGTGAGGCGGATTGGTATATTCATCGGGAAATAAGTTTGAGAGATTCGACAGGTCTTTTGAGAGGATTGGATAGAATCTTAGATTCTCGGAATGCAAGTATGGACTGTCAGCAGAGTTGCATTAAGAGTAGGATTTTGAAAAACTGTGGACATGTGTGTGGACGAAGAGACACCCACAAGTTGTCAGTCTGACCCGCCTGGAGTCTTCTCCCATGTTGTCCTGATATGGTCAGAACTTCTAATTACACGACACTTTGATCGCAGCTCTACTGGACTTAAAACATTACCACGACAAGAACCTCGGCATTCAACACAAATACGTACGCGGTGGGTGTATAGCGCACCCCGATCCCCCGATACCGGACGTTCAGAGTTTCGCACGTCGCACGGGGGATTGGTGGGAACCGGTTCTCTCTCGCTCTCTCTCTCTCTCTCTCTCTCTCTCTCTCTCTCTCTCTGCGTGTGTCTGTGCTGGTCTGTGCTACTGTATGAATGCGCACGACCAAACCTCCTTGCAGTCTGTAAGGTCTCAAGTACAGGTGTTGGTATTTGGTGACGATACAGAGATGACAATAATAATACAGAGATGGTTGTTGATAGCCCAGAATAGAACAAGAAAAACGAGGCATTTCGAGACACCTAATATATGTATGTGCATACATGACACATCACACCACAGAGGGCCAGAAATATATGCAAGAAGCTCGCTATAAGAGAAAAATACGACTAGTAATAGGTGCTGCGGCGGGTTTCTTAGTGAATAATCTCGTCGATTTATCTCACCAATCCCCGCCCTCGCCGCTTGTGCATACTCCCACCCAAATCTCTCTGCTTCTCTCATCAGGACACCCGACCCATGAAAAATATGTGCACTCCACGAAAACTATCGCTGGACCCGACAAAATCCTCGGACAAACGGCTGTTTTCCAGGCAGGAAGATGGTGTGCCGCCGAAAGTTTGGCTAAGCCAAGACATCGCACACCTCGCCGTGAATTCCCTTTGAGATGCTTCAAAACGTAGCGCGAAGCAGACGTCAACTCTAATTTGGGCACTATATTTAAGCCACCAACCGACACCTACGTATGTATATCCCCGGAGAAACGAGGTATTTAGTTCCAATAGGGCACCCTTTGTCAATCGACGTCTGGAAGTTGCTTGAAGGCCAGCACCGACTCAAGACATCCCACTGCCAAAAATTGCCTCTTTCCCAACACGCGTACCCAAGCCTCGACAAAACTCCTCCTTGCCGAGACGCCGCCGGAACTGACGAAACCTGTTCCGAAAGACACGCAAACATTATCTGTGAGACAAAATAATATCTAAGCAAGAAAAGCCGAAGAATTGCTGACGAAACGTACCGCACAGCCACACACCTGGAGACGCGCAAAGAAATCCCTTCTCACCAAATCTCCCACCCCACCGAAGCGACCATCACCGTCAAAATATACCGGAGCCATGAACCAGAGCAGCCAAGAATGCTCAACGCTGTGGCGGCGTTGTATGGCAAAGGACCCGTGCAGTTAAAAAAATTTACTCCACACATATAAACAGAGTCCTTGCACGTCAGTTCGCAGCAGTCTCCTCCATCGTACTGGCACTCTTGGGAATTCGTAACGCTGTCGCACTCGCCATCACCCACGTAATCCATGTTGCACTCAAGGCCGTACTCCGGAGTGTTGGGATCTTTGCAGTCGTACTCATATGCCCCGCAAGATTCTCCAAGACAGCTTGGTGCACAACAATCGCCACCATCGAAAAGACAGAATTCGTTGTTATACTCGTCGTCGCACCGACCATTTCCAATATCTTCAACGGGGCAAGTGCGATTGAAGAGGGTCGGCGTCGGCGCGGGCGTTTTGTAGACAGGGTCCAAACAAATCAACCGAAGATTGCAGTCCGAAGACTGAGGGTCGCATTGGTCTCTGTAAGTGACACCGCAGGTGTACTTCGCATCCACACATGAGTCCACGCAACCTGGAGAGGAAGGAGGAAGTACGTGTTAGTACATGCAGCATAGGTAGGTGCTGGAAGACATGAACCCAACGCTACTCGCATCCATCTCACGGCCATCCTCTCGGTGACTTACAATCTCCGCCGTCGAAAGAGCATTCTTCCACGTTGTTGTCGTCATCGCAGTGTCCATCTGATAACCAGATATCATTGCAGAGATAGGTATAGTCCGGTGATACTTCGGTCGTCTTTCGCTCCTGGTCTGGATCCCAGCAGTCGTATCCCGAGATTCCGCATTTGTAAGTGCTATCGATACATGTTTCTTCACAGCAATCCCCACCGTCTTGGACGAAAAAGCAAACAACGGGTGGGGAACGTGCAAACACGAGGTACGCCGGTGTTATCGTCGAAAAGGATGCATCTACGTACACTAGTTTCCTTCGCAGAGAGCAAACAAACAACGTGCCCTATGTAGCTTTTCATGGTTTCCACCACTCTACAATATCGGTACACGTCGAAACTCAAAATTCATACTTTTCAATTGGTATTCTATGTTCAACATTGCGTCCAATTTTGTATTAGACTTTTTTATCCCTCCCCCCCGCCCCCCCC